CACTATTTTCTTTTAGCAAATTTGGTGCTTTTATAATGGCGTTTACAAAGTTCTCTTCATCTCCGGCATACATAGTTGCACCATTTTTAATTGATGATGTAGATATTATTATTGAAATATTTCCGTTCCATTTTTAATTTACCTTTACTATTGTTTAAAATATGCATTTACCATTGATGATGAATAATATTATTATCGAAATATTTTCGTCCAATTTTTAATTTTTGTTCCATTTTTAATTAATATGAAAATTTATTTTTATTTTAGTCAATTATGGAATATTTATTATTTGGAGTCAATTATTAATATTCATTTCCTTTTATATGTTTCTTGTCAATTAGTAATATTAGATTAACCAGGACTATGTGGTCTAATGGTACCCGGGTTAGACTTTCATTTGGAAGGTTATAAGTTCGAGCCGCAGTGGAGGCATTATTGGTTCTTTGTGTTTAAATAGGTTGAGAATGTATATGAACACATACTACATTGTAATAGAGCTAGTACCATTCAAAGAAATATTTTCGTTCCATTTTTAATTTACCTTTACTATTATTTAAAATATACATTTACTATTGATGATGTAGAACATTATTATTAAAATATTTGTTTTCCATTTTTAATTTTCTTTTACTTGATGATGTAAAATATTATTATTGAAAGATTTCCATTCCATTTTTTAATTTCCGTTCCATTGTTTGAAATTGTGAAAGATTTATGATATAATTGCAATTTTATTTATTCTACTGTGTAATATTATTGTGAAAAATTAAAATTCAATAATTTTACTATTTCCTTTTCCATTTTAGTCAATCACGACTCACTTTTTTCCAGTCAATTATTAATATTAATTTCCTTTTCCAATTAACCTAATTTCCATTCATTATGTAATTTTTAATTTTCAAACAACTAGACATTGTCCCGTGCGATGCACGTGGTAAATATAATTTTAATAAAATAAAAAAGTGTTGTTGTACAATAAAAAAAAAAGAAGAAAATATTATTGAAAGAAAGACTAAATTACAAATTATTAAAAACCTAGTGGTTCACCACAAAGTCATATTTGTCCTCTAGGAGGACTTGAGACTCGTATTGTATGTGTGACTATGACGTGATTCAGAATGTAGTTGGATTATGTGATTGATATATCTCTTCCTTTGAGTTCTTATCTTGAATGTCCTTATTTTGTTGAATAAGTCTTTTGTTTGAGATCCATTGCCTTATGATGATAAGTTTAATTCTCTCGTATCCTTGCTTTGGAGTATATTCATTGAATTGAGTTTGCTTGTTGTTTGTATCACTCGAATCAGTTATGATATGTGCTTTATTCTTAAACGATCCGTTTGAGATAGAATTGACTAGTTGATGTATATATACATATTCCCAGTTTCAAAGGCTATACTGATTATGAAAAGTATATCTATATTATTTTACATACTGGAGTGGGCTTACTTAGCAATTATCGATGATCCTTTAAAATATGTTTTCAGGTACATACGGAGTAGAGACCCTTCCTGAGAGCGCATAGCAGGGATGTAGACCTTTGCCTTAGCACTTAGGCATGGTTTGACCTAAGTGTGGCATAACACCCCTGTTGAATTTAACTTTGCTTCAACGATGTTATTTTCAGTTTCAGACTTTATTTTAGCTCTCTTTGCCAGTTTATTGCTTTTTTTAAGCCCAAGGACAGAGCTTAAAAGTTCATATCCAGTGTAACCTATGCCTCAAGGTGAACCGATGAGATTATAGTCCACCAGCTTGAAGAATGAAATAACAAACAATTGCAACTTTTAAAGACTGTGGTTGGGAATCTTTCATTCAAGGCGACTTTGTGGCTAACCCTTGGACTAAAGATCTGGTGTTGAAGTACGGAATGAATATCATCTGAAATCAACAGTGCTTTCTGGATACAATGTGTGGTTTTTTTTGCTTGTATCTGTGCACATAATATTAGTGAAATCCTCCTTGGACGTTAAAGAGAAGAGTTGGGTAGGCAGTTGTCGAAAAATTATAAAAATCTCTCTATATACTCTTTAATTTTATGCACTTCGCATTGCTTGCATTTTCATATCCGTTGATTGAACCAGTTATCATACACTGCATAATTTTCGTTCAAGTTGTTTTTCATTCAAACTTGCACTACAAACCCTTGTAGTATTCTGTTACCTATCACTGTGCTTTCGAGATGTTGGTAAGCTTTGCATTAAAAATTTGTTTTAAGTTAAAATTAAAAAAAAAAATTATTCAACCCTCCCCCCCCCCCCCCCCCCCCCTTTCTGGACTATTACCAAACACGGGACCAAAAATGTTTGCTCGGAAAAAATTTCGCATTGGTTGGGAAATCCTTGGTTGAACACAGGGGTAGACCAAGATCGCACTGGACCACGATTGTTATGATTTGACCATTTGAAGGCCAATAATCAACGCAATGGGTTCGACCTAAGACCAAACCAGACCCAAGGCTCGAGTAAAGCTATGCCAACTTGTCCTTTGACTATTGGGGTAGTACTCCTTTTAGTTCTCGACTTTCAATTCGACCAAAAAGCATACCTTGACTTTAATTTTTTACCACAAATAATCATCCATTATAATTTTTGTTAAATGGATATTAAATCTAAGGTTAATATCATCAAATAAAAAAATATTAAATGTTCTTCATCACTCAGTAGAATGAATCCAAATACCCTTCAATGTACTTTCATTGAGTTCATTTTTTCCCAATTCTCCTCCACAGTTTCAACACTCAAAATTTGGAGAGAGTAAAAAATACCCTTCATTTTCCCCAATTTTCCTTCAAAGCTTTAACACCTAGAATTTTGGAGAGAGAAAATGCAATACCCTTCATTCTTCCCTAATTTACCTCCACATTAGGACAAAAGTGACAGCTTGAAAAGCATGCATGGGTGGGAACTCTAGCTTGTCTCAAAAGTATATATGAGAGAGACCACTGCCATCCCTAACGACCAATAGAAAAATTACATGCAAAATTCACCTCCTTTCAATCAGTCAACCTTTTGGGTAAATCCTTAAATTCAAAACAACAGACCAGCTGCCGGCGGAGAGGATAACCACGTTCATCGAAAAAATCAAGACTCGGCCAAAGCAAACCCAGGGAGTCTCAAGAAAAGCCCACCTCACACACCAAAAGAAGAGAGAGATCTCTGGGGAGCAACCCGTTCAGCAATCTCCTCTTAACACGTACCAATCATAGCAAAGACAAGAATAAACCCCTCAAATCTCTAAATTCACCAATGAAACCATGGATAGTCTCATTCATCTAATTTCTATGCTAAAATCAAGACTTGCAAACCCACACAATTTTTCAACGAACTAGGGGTACCCCCTACAACCTTATTGAAGCGAAGGTTAAGAAATCCTCAACTCCTCAAGTAACTTTATCGTAAGGCAAAGAACCATAATTGCCTCCACCGCTGAAGTTCAGAGCAACGACCCGCAGACACATGCGGCAAGTTCTGTTAAAGAAAGAGGATCCGGCGAAGATCTGAAGCTGTGAAGGAAAATTGGGGAAGAATGAAGGGTATTTAGCATTTTCTCTTTCCAAATTCTGGTATTGAATCTGTGGATGAAAATTGAGAAAAACTGAACTTAATGAAGGGTATTTGATTTTATTCTGCTGAGTGCTAAGGAACATTTAATAATTTTAGATTTGACGATATTAATCTTAGACTAAACATCCATTTAACATAAATTATAACGGAGGACTATTTGTGGTCAAAAATGAAAGTCAAAGTATGTTGTTTGGTAGAATTTAAAGTCGATGATTAAAAGGAGTACTACCCCTATAGTCAGAGGACCATTTGTGGTATTAACTCTTTTTAAAATGTTTAAGAATACTATTAATCTTATCATTACTACACTCAAAAAAAGGAGCTAATGAAACTTGTAGGCTTACATATATAAATTGAATCGTATAATATTAAAAATCGCAATTTAATGTTGGTGATAATTACAATAAGAGTAAATACCATCTATGGTCCCTCGAGTTTGGTGGCATCGCCATCAATGGTCCCTAACTTTCGTAATTACCGAGCGTCATCCTCCGAGTTGCGAAAAGTGGCTTTCAAGGGTCCTATCGTTAGTTGGTCCCGTCTGAGATGTCAAAATGGAGGGCAAATGAATCATTTTACTTTATGCGAATGTTTTAATGCCTTTTCTATTTATTTAACCGAGCTCTCATCTGGTTCCACGATATCATATGCCTGAGAACCGAACCCTAATCTTCTTCATCTTCTTCATTTTCTTCATCTTCTTCAAGTAATTTCATGAGCAACAATGTCATCTTCTTCAACTACTTCAAGGAGGAGATATAATTTTGGAGATTCCATACACAGTCATGGGTGTGAGTGCGGGAATCAAGTGGTGCTTCGGACGTCTTGGACAGATCGCAATCCGGGTAGGAGGTTTTGGCAATGCTCTTAATCCGGTCAGGTAATCTTAGAATTTGTAATATCGAATTTATAAATTTTTGAATTCAGTTTCATTTTTCCAGATTTGAATTTTATAAATTCAATTTTCTTTTGTTGTTGTTGTTGTTTTTTTTTTTTTTTTTTTTTTTTTTTTTTTTTTGTTTTTTTTTTTTGTTTTTGTCTTTTTGGTTTTAGGGAGGCAACGGTTGTGGTTTCTTTGATTGGGCAGATCCTCCAATGTGTTCATGGGCAATCAGTATAATACCCGGACTTTTGAAGAGGATAAATAGAGACAAAGAAGAGATGGAGAAGTTAAAGGCTATGCTAGAAGTTGCTACTAAGACAAATGTAGTCTTGTCTATGAAATATAAATGTTGCAAATTCGCAATTGTAATCATCTTTGCAATTGGATTCGTAGTTCATGTGTTTAGCAAATGTAGTTCTCAATCAATGGCAGTTGTCAAAATGCTTCCAGGCAATTAATGATGTAACCTGATTTGGACCATTTAATGAAATCTGTTTGAAGTCTGTTTTTTTTTTTTTTTTTTTTTTTTGAAACAAACAAACCAAACTTCATTAATAACTTAACAACCCAGAGATACAAGCCGGTGGGATAAATTCCCACGTACCAGAGACAGACGAGGAACCGGTTGCCCGTGCTAGTTCGTGAGCCACACGATTCGCTGTTCTCCTGACATGGCAAACGCTAACGTTTCCAATGCCATTAGCAATAGACACGCATTGCTTAACAATTACATCCAAATAAGAAAAATCACGACTACGGGAATTAAAAGCGGTACAAAAATTTAAACAGTCTGACTCGATAATGATATTACTATATTGTAAGTCCTTGAGCCATTTCAAAGCCTCCCTCGCTGCAATCGCCTCCACCATCAAAGGTTCACGGTTGCTCATGATGCGCCCATTTTTTGCCGCTATAAATCGTCCATTATGATCTCGGATAACCGCTCCGTACCCGGCTCCATCCGAGAACGTGGCTGCGTCCACATTGCATTTGACGGACGAGATTGGTGGCGGTTCCCACGTTGATGCATGCCCGGCACGATCCACATCTCGTATGCCCCTCCGGTTCGACTCTTCCCAGCAAGCTCGTACACTCGACACTTGCATACGCATGGCTGCCACAAACGGCTGGATGTTACGCCACACGATGTCATTTCTTGTAGACCAGACCACCCATATGATTGCCGCCAACCTCGTTGATTGCTCCACAGTCGAATTAGTGAGCCACTGATCCATAAACAGCTGCATGCACCGACCATTCAACACGTCCTCTTGTTCCCATAACGCTGTTGCATACGGACATTCACAAAAAAGATGTTCCATAGATTCCCAATTGTGACCACATAACGGACATCCCCCTCTAATCCAGACATGCTTCAGCTTGAGGTTCTCACGTACAGGCAACACCCCCCGAGCACAATGCCATAAAAGATTCTTCGCCTTTGGGGAAATTGGTAATGACCATAGAGAGTTCCAAGCGTGAAACTCCCCTGCATAATTATTCTCCTCGCTGCTGTTCATAAGAAGCCGATACCCATGTCTCACAGTGTAGTTACCCCGTATATCTCCCAACCACCGCCAAGAGTCTTTACATTGCGGACTCATAGGTGTAGCAAGGATCCAGCGAACATCCTCCTCCTGGAAAAAGTCATGTAAGATGGCCGTATCCCACGTTCCGTGACTGGTAAATAACCCACTTATCGTAGCAACCTGCAGCGCATCTGTACGAGGCGTGACTAAGTCTGGTTTGGTGCCATCCGAGAGCCAAGGCCAATCCCAAATTCGGGTGTCAAGACCATCACTGATGCGCCTGGCAAGTCCTAGTTTCAAAACCTTTTGCCCCTATTGAATGCTCCACCAAATATAGCTTGGATTACCTCCTAAATTTGCCTCCATGAATCCACCCCTCGGGAAGTACTTTGCCTTTAGTAACCGACTGACCAGAGATTCGGGATTTGTTAAAATACGCCACCCTTGCTTTGCTAGTAGCGCCAAATTGAACTCGTGCAGACGTTTGAACCCCAAACCACCCCTCGACTTTGTCTCGCACAACTTGCTCCATCTCAGCCAATGAATTCCTCTCGTACCCGTACCACCACCACCCCACCAGAACCTGTTAAATAATTTTTCAATGGTATCACAAACACGTAACGGCAGCAAGAACATTGACATGGTAAATATAGGCATGGCTTGAGCAATGCTTTTAAGCAAAACTTCCTTCCCGACCCTCGAGAGGAGTTTATTTTGCCAAGATCCAATGCGTTCCCGAACCTTTTCTTCTACATACCGGAAAGCAGCCGTTTTGTTCCTGCCCAATGCGGACGGAAGGCCCAGATATCGTCCTAAATCTGTTGCTTCATTAACCCCGAGACTGTTAGCTATCAAACTCCTCATCGCGGGTGTCGTGTTCACACTGAAAACAGCATTTGATTTATCGAAGTTTATGAGCTGCCCCGAAGCGGCACAGTACAGATCCAGACATTCCTTAACCTTCAAAGTTTCCTGTTGGTTTGCCCTGAAGAATAACAAGCTATCGTCAGCAAAAAATAGGTGAGTAACGGTCGGGGCACCCCGTGCCACACGCACCCCGTGAATATCACCCCTCGCCTCCGCCTGCTGTAGCAAAACAGATAACCCCTCGGCACATATTATAAATAGATAAGGGGACAGTGGGTCCCCTTGTCTGATCCCCCTAGAAGGGCGAACAGTACCAACCGCCTCCCCGTTGACCTGTATTGTGTAATTTATAGTAGTAACACACATCATCAACAACTCTACCCAGCGCCTTTCAAACCCCAATGCCCCTAACATCCCTTCTAAAAAACACCACTCCATCCTATCGTACGCCTTAGCCATATCGAGCTTTAGCGCAGTCCACCCCACAACTCCTTTTGTTTTCCTCCGCAAATAATGACCAACTTCCCCGACCACTATTACATTATCCGTCAAGAGCCTTTCCGGGACAAAGGCACTGTGCGACTCCGACACAACCTGCTCTAAACATATTTTAAGTCTGTTCGCCAACATTTTGGCTAACACTTTATAGACCACGTTACACAATGCTATTGGACGCAAGTCTGTCACCCTTTCCGGGACCTTCTTCTTTGGTAGAAGAACAATATTTGACTCATTCAGCCCCTCGGGCAATCTTTGAGAGGCCACACACTGCAGAATAAAGACTGCCATGTCGTGCCCAAGCACCGGCCAAAAGTGTTGGTAAAAAGCCGGCGACATGCCATCAGGCCCAGGCGCTTTTTTCGGCGCCATGGAAAATAACGCAGCTTTAACCTCAATGATCGTGAACGGGCGCATCAAAGAGACATTCATCTCGTTCGATACCCGATGCCGAACACAATTCATGGGATTTGGATTACTTGAATTGGAACAAAAAATATAATCAAAGTACCTCAATATTTCTGAGTGCATCGCTGTACCCTCCCTCCATGTCCCGGACTGGTCTTTCATTCTTAGCAGAAGGTTACGCCGACGGCGACCGGACGCAACCCTGTGAAAATATTTCGTGTTCATGTCTCCATGCTGCAGCCACAGCTGTTTTGAACGTTGCTTCCAGAAGATCTCTTCTTGACGAATTAAGATCTCTAACTCCCCTTCAACAGTCCGAAATTCGTCCACTGCCGCAGAAGTGCGGTCCTCCTTTAATCGATCGAGCCTATTCCGCAAGAACCTGATACGGTTCCCAAACCTCTGGAAGTGCTCGCCGCCCCATGTCCCTAACCGTTGACCGCAAAGCTCAATGCGTTGTTGAAACGTCAGACCCAGAGATTGGCGCCATGCTTCATCCACAACCTGCGCACAGCCGTCCTTTAAAAGCCACGGCGACTCAAATTTGAACGCCCGCCTTGCCGCTCGCACATGCCTCGACTCCGTATCAATAATAATGGCGCTATGGTAAGAATTTAGAGTAAACAGATTACGTACCAACACCTCCTCAAACAACTCAGCCCATTCCACCATGGCCACGGCTCTGTCCAACCTCTCCTCCACCTATGCCACAGTCCCTCTACCGCGACTCCAAGTAAATCTACCGCCCACCATTCCTAGGTCGTTCAACTGGTAATCCCCGAGGGCGTCATTGAATCCCTCGATTAAGAATTCCGGTTGCGAATGCACCCCTCTTTTCTCCGATAACCCCGCTATATCATTGAAGTCCCCAACGACAATCCAAGGCAAAACCGATCTGTCCTTGAGTTGACGCAACAGGTCCCAGGTGAGGTGTCTCTCTGCTCTGTCAGGATTACCGTAAAAACATGTAAGCCTCCACGCTGGCTGTCCCGGCAGTGAAATCGCCATGTCGATATGATTTTGTGAATAGCTCAGTAACGATGCCGCATCGGCATCCCTCCAATATAACACCAATCCTCCACTCATGCCTCTTCGCTCTACATTGAACATTCCTTCGAAACCTAATTTAACACGTACCTCCTCCGTTCTCTGACTTCTCGCTTTCGTCTCCATGAGGAACATGAAAAAGGGTCGCTGCTTGGACACCATGCCCAAGAGTTCGCGAACTGTCCGGGTGCCACCCAATCCCCGACAGTTCCAGCTAAGAATACTCATTTGGCTTGGCGAGCCTGATCCTCCAGACTCGCCGACAACATGTTTTTTGGATCCTCCACCATCGTTACATCCCCTGTAGTCATACTGACTTCTGCCTCTGCGTCTCCTCTGCGTCGCTTAAGATCACCCTGCAATCCTCCGCTTTCCTCCATAGTCACCAGAACCGCCGGTGAGAGACCGGGGCTCTCAGTTGATGGCCCAGTCAGTTGCAGACTCGGAGAAGGCAATAACCACTTGGCTCCCACTGGTCTCACTTGTCACCTGGACCCCGCCCTCATCCACGCCCCAAACGGAAACGCCTCCGGTAGGATACCTTCTTCATAAGCCCGACGACAAAACTTATCTGCATGCCCCAGGACCCCGCAACAGAAGCAAAACGTGCCGAGCCTCTCGTAACGGAACGCAATCCACTCCGCTGAACCGTCCTTATGAATCAGCTTCATCCGTCTCTTCAAGGGATGATCAATGTGCACCCGAACCCGGATTCGGTGATAGCTCCTCCACGATCCACCAAAATTGAGCGGATCAATGGCGATGAAAGAGCCTAAATAATTGCCGATCCGTTCCAGGAACTCCGTGGACGCGTAAACTGCTGGTAGTCCGTGAACCTGAACCCATATTGATAGATGTTCCAGTTTCACATCCTCAGGTCTGATCCCCGCCCCGACCTGCGTGCACACAAACATATGGTTCTCGAAAGTCTAGGGACCATCTTCAAGAATCCTTTGCAAATCCCTCGGGTGAGGGAACTGAAACAGGAAAAGCTCATCGGTTAGTGGGACGACATGCATGCCCATTACCGGCCTCCACACAGAGGCCATGACTTGTTTCATAAATTCGTATTTGATCGGTCGGTCTGTAAGGAAACGCCCCATCAGATTGTTGTCGATCGCAGCATCTGGCCCCGTCTGAATGTCTGGGGCTTCAACGCCATTGACCTCCTCCTCCGCGAGTGACAAATCCGCACACCGCTCCTCGATCGATTGTAAGTCCATGTGAACAATAGAGAATCGAATTTGATACGCTAGAACGATAAAACACAGAATGAACGGAAGCTCCATCATCAATGTTTTAAAAGAACCCTAGAACGCTAGGGAGAAACTCACTTGGTCACAACCAAGAGAGGTTGCCACGATTAGAGACCACGATCGGAGATCGTCGTCGGAATCACGATCTGAGTTCGCGACTTATGCGGAGCACTTTCTCAAAACAGATAAATGTTACCATCAATTGATCAATTCTGACAAAGTCTGTTTAGTTAAGCACCATGTTATTGTACTGTCTTTGTTGTCTGTATAGGTAAGCACAATGATATTGAAGTATGTTTGGAGTGTGTTTAGTCAAGAAACCTTAACAATAACATAAGCACAATAGGACAATAAAAGCCAATTGAGCAACCATTTCATTTCTGCCAAAGTAACATTCAATTGTGCCAAAATAAGACTTAATTGCCAAAGTTACTGCTATACAAAAAAGAGTAACATACAACTGTCTTGTCTAACTGATCCAGCAGTTTTGGCTACCAAAAAACATAACTTAAACAACATAACTTAAACAGTACTGTTAATCAATGCTTATAGGATCATCACTTGTGTTTTTGAATTTTGATTTCATCTTGCCACGAGTGTTATATTTCCTCCCTTGAGTTGCATTGGCTTGCAGCTTCTTCTTTGTTGGTTGAGTCACTTGTTGGCTATCTTCTTCTTCTCCAAGAATTGGTGGCTGACTAGTAATTGGTATTTCCTCAGCATTCACTTGTGGTTGCATTGTTTGGTTTTGAAGCACTTGAGACAGCACTGCATCAATATCAATGTTTGCCAACCAATTATCATCTTCATCTTCAAGTGTTGCATCAGGCAGTGTAGGAACCACCATTTGCTCAAATTCACTATAAATCACCCCACGTGTCTCAAACAAGTTGTCATCACTCTGTATGACTGTATACCCATTGGCTTGTTTTTCATACTGAGCTATTTTCTTCATAATCCTAGGGCATATAGGGCCAGTCCATTTCCATGCCTCTTTCCTACACTGATACAGCCTATGCATAATTTTCTTCCTCAATGTTTCAAGGCAGCTAATTAAAGGCTTCTCTCTAGCATCTAAAATAACAGAATTATAACACTCACAAATGTTATTGACCAAGATATCACAATGCGCATTTGTATTAAAATGTGACCTGGACCACTCTGAAGAGTGTTTTTCAACAAGACATTCATATGCCTTAAGAGTCAATAGTCTTCATCTTCTTCATTGCAGCTGTGAAGGTGTTAACTGTTGTAGCCCTAGCAGCATCCCATAATCCATCTTTAATTGCCTTTCCATTGAAGCCAGCTAGTTTCATATTCCCATGTAAATGTCTCACACATAATCTGTGAGTCACAGCTGGAAGAACATCAAATGCAGGGAGTAAACCCTTTTGCTTATCTGCCAAACAGTTAGGTAAACACTTAGAAATAAATGAATGCAAAACAAATGGTAAGCTTTTAAAACTATAAGATATGAATGTTAATTCCAGTTCACATACCTGAAATAAATGTTAATTCCAGTTCATCAGTTGGAGTTATTGCAAGATCTGACTTAAGATGTTGTAAAAACGAAATCCAACTTTCCTTATTCTCTCCTTCTACATGTGCATAAGCAAGAGGAAAGACACTATCATTTCCATCCACTCCAATAGCTAACAGCAACTGACCCCCATGCAATCCCTTCAAATGACACCCATCCACTCCAATAATAGGCCTACAGTACTTATAGCCTATTCTACATGCTTCCCAGCACATGTAAAATCTCTTGAATCTTCTATTGCCATCATCTAGTTTATCACCCAACTTCACATGGTATTTGCTACATGGATTAGTCCTGTCAATCTCCAAGCAGTAACTCCATAGTTTATTAAAGCATTTTTCTTCTTCACCATAAATGGCACCCTTTGCTTTCCTCATTGCCCTCCATGCTTGCCTTCTCGATATTGAGATTCCATCAGTAGTTGACACCTTTTTAAGGAATTCAGATGCTGTCCAGTTGGAGTTTGATGCAACCTCATTCTTCCACCTTTTTGCAATTGTAGTTGAGTTAGCCATGTAGTTTATGTTATTCCAACAACATCCATCATGCTTGTCATTGATTGCTGTAATCCTCCAGTCATTTTCTGAGGCTTGTTTCCTTAGTGTAATCCTCCAAGGACATTCAGTTTCATTGCACTCAACAATGCACCTAACCTTATCATTTTTGATGTACAGAATTTCCTTTCCTTTATTCATTGCATAATTATAAATTGCCTCCTTAAATTCTGCCTTAGAACCAAATGTTAATCCAAGACAGAATGTAGGTGTTGCCATCTCAATTTTCCCTTTAAACATTAGCAGTTGATATTCTTTTTCCTCTTCATTATCACTGTCTTTCTCACTCCCCTCATCTGAAAATTTTATCTCCAAATCTTCATTAACTTGAACTGCCAAGGCAGTTCCAGCATCATCTAACCCACCAAACTCAGCAGTTGGATCAACAAATTGCTCAAACTCTATGTCATCTAAATCCACAAAACTCTCATCTGACTCTGCATCCTCCTCACTTTCCCATTCAGCTTCACTTTCAGGATCAGCATCCTCAACACCCTCAGCATCCTCAACACCCTCAGCACCATCAGGACCCTCATCACTTTCAGCACACTCAGCATCAACATCACCCTCATGCACAACCCAAATCTCTATTTCATTATGCACCTCTATTTCTTTGACTAAATCCCATACTTCACAATCTGAAACTATCTCTATCAACCCATTTGATAGATTCACAAACATCTTCATGCTATCTATTATTTCATAACCCAAACACTTAACCTTATCTCTAAGTGTGAACAATCCCCACTCATTCACATCAATGTTAGAGAAACTAGTAGTCTGCCCTCCAACATAACTTGGTTTATGAGTTTTATTTATCCTACCACCATGCCTTAAATTCAACACAAAACCACCACCAGGAACATTACCTGTACAGCAAAGTAGCCACAAATAGGCTCATTACACACTGTTATATATGCAGGCAGAAATGTGGATTTCAAATGGTTTACTATCCCAAGACAAGTGGTCCCTAGACATAATATAATACACATAAAGGCAATACACATCATTTAACTTTTAACCCAGCCACAACATATGTGCTTTAAACCCTATGTGGTCCCCAATTTCAAGCCAACCCATCCACAATTATTTACAGAACAAAAGGACACACTACCATGTGCTTTCAACCCTCTGTGGTCCCCAATTTCAAGCCAGCATATGTGCTTTCAACATAAATAACCAAAAAAAAAAACAAAACACAAAAATTCTACTTTAAACAAAATATGCAGTTCATGGTCTCCCACCACCTAGACAGGGCCCCCATGGTCCCATAAACAAAGCCTAATACTATACTTTAAACGAATGCAGTTCACATACTCAAATTTGTAACAAAAACAACCAATACAAGGTTTTCGTAACACAAAGAACTCCCTACTTAGTTAGTTCACATACCATTCGACTACCGTTGTGGAGAACCCATGACCTCGTTGAAGTGTGCCCTATTCTCGCCTTGAATTCTGACCTCGAAATTGCTACTTCGTCGATGAAGAATCCGCAAATTTTTCCTTCGCAGTCGCCACTACATTCGCCTGAGATTTTGTTTAGGGTTTGATAGTTGGAAATTTGGGAATAAATTGAGGGGGGATCGATGGACGTTTTTCTCCAAATAAATGTAAAATGCATTAAAACGTTCGCATAATGTGAAGTGACTCATTTGCCCTACATTTTGACGTCTCAGACGGGAACAACTAACGGAAGGACCCTTGTAGGCCACTTTTCGCAACTCGGAGGATGACGCCCGGTAATTACGAAAGTTAGGGACCATTGATGGCGATGCCACCAAACTCGAGGGACCATAGATGGTATTTACTCATTACAATAATTTCGTTGCATTTTTTTTTTGACAAAAAAATCATCTTATTTGTTTCAATTTTTTTTTTTAAATGTAAGGCTGGGATTAGTTCTTACTTTTTTCTTGAGAACATATTGTCATTGGAGTGTTACCCTATAGAACAAGGCCTTCGTATAAAAACTTATATTAGGATAAATCTCTACTGCCCGTTAGAGTTTCGTGTTGTTTGAGGGGTTTAGTAAAAAAAAAAAATACAAAATATCGTCACCCCCACCCCATATCAAAATTTTTTGAAAGAGTTAATACCACAAATGGTCCTTTGACTATTGGGGTAGTACTCCTTTTAGTCATCGACTTTCAATTCGACCAAAAAGCATACTTCGACTTTAATTTTTTGCCACAAATAGTCATCCATTATAATTTCTATTAAATGGATATTAAATCTAAAGTTAATATCGTCAAATAAAAAAATATTAAATGTTCCTCAGCACTCAGAAGAATGAATCCAAATACCCTTCAATGCACCTTCATTGAGTTCATTCTTCCCCAATTCTCCTCCCAAGTTTCAACACTCAGAATTTGGAGAGAAAAAAAAATACCCTTCATTTTTCCCAATTTTCCTTCAAAGCTTTAACACCTAGAATTTTGGAGAGAGAAAATGCAATACCCTTCATTCTTCCCTAATTTACCTCCACATTGAAAGTCGAGGATTAAAAGGAGTACTACTCCTATAGTCAGAGGACCATTTGTGGTATAAAATCTTTTTAAAATGTTTAAGAAAACTCTTAACCTTATCATTACTACAATCTAAAAAAAAGGAGCTAATGAAACTTGTAGACTTACATATATAAATAGAATCGCTCGCACTGTAATGTTGGTGATAATTACAATAATGTCATTGCATTTTTTTTTTTTTAAAAAATCATCTTATTTGTTTCAAATTTTTTTTATTTATTATTATAAATGTAAGGTTGGGATTAGTTCTTAGTTTTTTCTTGAGGGCATATTCTCATTGGAGTGTTAACCTATAGAATAGGGTCTTCGTATAAAAACTTATATTAGGATAAATCTCTACCGCCCGTTAGAGTTTTATATTGGTTGAGGGGTTTAGTAAAAAAAAAAAAAAATACGGAGTCAATTTTATAATTATTGAAAATTTTGAAATTTTCAATATTTATAATCGCAACCCACATATTTTCACCTTATTTTCTACAAATATAGAGGTGATCTACATAAAATTAACTAAATAAATAAATATTTGTAAATGACTAAATTTCTTTTAATTTTTCAAATATCATTTCGCATTCTCAGTACAATATTACTTTCAATCCTACAAACATTGGACCTCATCTATTATCCTGAATATCATCATTATATGAGAGTCCCACATGCACACTTGCATATTCCAGCTATGCAAGCATATTTACAGTTAGGACCCGGACATATATCTTTACACTCTTCATGGGTTACGCACTCTGGCACAACAATGCTATCCTTCACGATTTGATCTTCTGGCAGGCTATTAGAAGTATGACAATTTGATGAATCTGCAAATATGTTGAATTAAGTAAACACATTGAAAATTATGAATATATAAATAAAAAACAAGTATTAAGTTCAAAAATATATTGAAAATGATGTACATATACACACATGAAATATATATTTTCTCAAGTATTAGACACATGTCTAATATATGAGAAAAATTTTGTTCCTCACTACTACCGTGCCCAAAAAAATAGATAAATAAAAAAATAAGGCAGTAATTTTGTTATATCTTTTTGTGTTTGTGTGTGTATGTGTGAGGGACATGTATACTATAAGCGAAAAGAAGAATATATAACTACTAACCCAACATAATTAGCAAGAAAGCAAGAGAGAACATGAGAACAATCTTTGATGCCATTTGTATGTTTACTGTACAACAACGTTAAATTTGATTCGCTTGAAATAGAACTACAACAATTTTTGATGCTTTACTAATTTATAAGATGAGTATCAAATGTAACGGATGGCGCATACATAGTAATCCCCAATATTGCATAAACTCATATTGTCCATGTATAGTAAAATATTAAAACAAAAATACTATACTTGTTATTTGAAGGGAAATTTTATCCCGAATATAGTATAATTGTCTTTCTATAGTAATCTTTTTTAAATATTTCCTTATTTCTTTTCTAAGAAAAATTTTATTTGGGACAATGCTATATGAACAATACATTACCGGTGCGATGCACCGATATATTTTTTTTATTATATATTTAAATAATAAAATTAATGATGAAATTATAAACAATTCTAATATTTGAAAGTGTACATTTATTTGAAACTAGTATTTTCACCCGTGCGATGCATGGAATGGATTTGTTGTAATATATTAAAAATATTTGAATCAATAAATAATTATTTAAATTAGAACATCAAATATTATATAGTGCAATTAAAGATATGGTTTGCATCGTTTATGTGTTTTGATGTTATCATTGCTTGAATTTGTGCAAATAATTGCTCAAATTAATAGCTAATGTCTAGATGTATGCATGTTGTGCTATAACTTTGAAGATTTTATTTATCACTATTTAGTATTTTCATAAATTAGGCGAATGTGCTCGTTCTCTAAAAACTCAGTTATATGAATGAATTGCTATCGTAATTCATTTGTATGGAAGATATATTTTTTTGTGTAGATATATATGTAGTAATTTTTCCATTTAAAAAAAAAACATAATATCATCGATTATATTTACACATTATTGAAATATCTTTGTAGATGACATTGGTAGCGGCAACACAATCTTATCCATCCTCGTCTAGAGCTAACACCTTCAGTTCATCAAGATGGGTTACTCGGGTGAAAATATATAATGGTAATATATCACTCATTTAGTGATCATTTTATATATTCTGTCAATTAGTAATATTAGATTCGTTTTCAGTCAATTATTTTCTTTTTATTTTTAGTCAATTAGAATACCAAATGCCGTGATATTTTTACCTAAATTTTGTTCCATTTTAATTGATGATGTAGATATTATTATTGAAATATTTCCGTTCCATTTTTAATTTACCTTTACTATTGTTTAAAATATGCATTTACTATTGATGATATAGAATATTATTTTTGAAATATTTTCATCCAATTTTTTATTTCCGTTCCATCTTTAATTAAAATGCAATGATCTGACCATTTATTTTTTATTTTAGTCAATTATGGATTTTTTATTATTTGGAGTCAATTATTAATATTCATTTCCTTTTATATTTTTCTGGTCAATTAGTAATATTAGATTCATTTTCAGTCAATTATTCATTTTTATTCTCAGACAATTAGTCAATTAGAATGTAGATGTAGTGATATTTTTATCTAATTTTTGTTTGATTTTTATTTTAATTTTCAAACAACTAGATATTGTCCCGTGCAATGCACGGGGTAAATACAATTTTAATAATAAAAAAAGTGTTGTTGTACAATAAAAAAAAAAAAGAAAATATTATTGAAAGAAAGACTAAATTACAAAGTATTTAAAACCTGTAAACTACATTAGTTGTAGAAATAGAATTAGTGGTTCACCACACAGTAATATTTGTCCTCTGACCCCGCCACCCACAAGTTGTGTGGTTGTTTGATTCCAGTATTGTTTTATTGCCTCCTGTGCACTTTTGACTATTTGTTGATGTTATTCGTGTCTAGAGCTATGTCTTCTGATTCTGTTGCTTCGGTTTTGAGCTATTGATTTGTTATAAAGACACATTCTTGAAGGATCTAGAGCTGTCTCCACTGGTTATGAAATAAAGGTAATTCTATTGTCAAATTCCAAACAGAGCATAACTAAACATAATTGTTGGGGTGCTATGTCACATCTGAGCTGGAGAACTCAGATGCACAGGCTAAACAATCCAAACAACATAAATCCTTAAATTAGTACAACATCAAGGCACGCAGGCCGATAAGAGAACTAATCTAGCTAGGTCCACGGTCCAACTAGCGCGCTCCGGAGCTTTTCATCTATGCCTGAAAGCCAAATATATCTGTTCAGCGAATAATGATGGTAACCCACTCCAACGTGTTAAGTACAATATAGGTAGATATATATAAGGAAAATCATTTTGAACCCGGAATATATATATATATATATATATATATATATATATATATATATATATATATATATATATATATATATATATATACCTATGAAACTCTAATTCAAAACCGAGGGTAGACCCAATCAAGCAAGGGTAGGCACATTCAATATAATTAATCACACACATTACGATTCTAGCATGCATCATAAGGTCACAAGACTATTTCATATTAATCATATCAATACTCCGTTACTATTTCAGTCACAATCAACAATAAGACATGTATGCACATATGGTGGTGCCGCAGGACCAATCGCATGCCCATACATGAGGGTCAGCGCATATAGCTCTGACACGACCCTGAAGCACCCTGCTTGTACCCCAGCACAAGGAGATTGATCGCAACCAATCGATGAACCGCAACTCATTTATAACGTTTGATCGCAAGCAAACAGTGGATCGCAGCCCGAATATTATGTATATCTGATCGCAACCCGATTATGGACCACAGCCCTATATATATATATATATATATATAT